ATAACTGAAGTTCTAAGAGGTTCAGCAACTTGCCAAAGGTCACAAAGCTTGTAACAGCTATAGAGCTAGGTTCAAATCCTGGGACTCTGACCCCAAGGCCCACACTGTTAATCAGAACATGGCTAACAAGTATTCTTTGACAGCAACCAAATCCACCATACACAGGTTTTTAAAATTTAACTTGGTCCTACCAGCATTATTATATGGTAATTCAATTTTACTCTACAAACGTCAAATTCAGAAACTTACCCACTACAATAAAGTTTCCACACTTAGATATACATGCTGAGGATTCAATTCGATCTCCCAAAATCTGCTCCCATTTCACCTTCCCAGAGTAAAGGTCAATTGCCTTCATTCTATGAGAATGGGAGCCGATGTACACAGTTGCAGATGACTTTTCAACAACTGGAATTACAACCAGAGGTGAAGCATCTACACATTTGCCAGTGTCTGACCTCCACCTCACATGTAACTCCATTTTCTCAGCTCCTATCACAGGTTTCCTCCCTTCAGAAACTTTAGCAACACAGGATGGATCTTTGGACTTCCCAATAAGAGCTGGAGGATTTAAGCCTTTGAAATCTTGAATGTTATTCTGTGAAATTAAATCAGAAGAATAGGCCAAAGAGCAGTGTCTTATCTTGGTTGAAAACCTAGTAGTATTCAAAGAAAAAATCTGGTTCCCTCTCCTCAGTGCAACAAAAGCATTTATCTCATTGCAATTTAAGGGCATGACAGATTTCTGATGTAAAGACTTTCCACTGGCTTCCTCTTGATCGATGCCACTAAGTTTCCTTTTTGGGGCATAACTCTTCCTGAATGTCAGGTCTTCATCTGGAAACACTGTTTGAAGGATATGATTGTAAATCTCTAAAATGGAATTGCTGAGAATAGTTTCCAGAAGCCCAGGTACTGATGTACCAACAAGTTTTTCAATCTCACTGAGGAGCCGTATGGACTTTAAGGAATCTCCACCACTACTCAAGAAGTGTGACTCATCAGGAACCTTCAAAAGATCTTCTGAGAGATTCAGAATAGACTTCAGGATGAGAGAAGGAAAAAATATGGTGAAGTAAAGACCTAAA